TAAAGCAGCGTTGCCATTGCCAACCCAAATACTGTGCAAGCGTGGAGGCAGGTTTCGCAGAGATAGTAAGCGGGGAAAGCCTTACTTGAACAAATTCGAAAATTGCCTCCTTTGAAGGAGCATCCATGTCATCGAAGAAGATGCCGCCAACTCCACGACATTCACCTGCATGAAGCAGAAGGAGAGAAAGGTAAGAGATGGAGTTGTGGGGACGAAGGAGGAGGAGGAGAAGAAGAAGGGAAAGGTTTAGCACTCACCGCGATGTTTGATAAAGAAGTACTCGTCACACCACTTCTTGAAGCGTGGATAGTAGGTGGGGTCATGGCGGTCACAAGCAATCTTGAATTGTTCGTGGAAATGGTGGGCGTCTTCCTCATACAAATAGCTGGGTGTGAGGTCACAGCCACCGCCGAACCACCACACTTTCTCGCCATCCTCATCAGTCACTTCAAAGAAGCGAAAATTGAAGTGCATAGTAGGCGCATGTGGGTTGCGCTGAAACCAGACACAAGGCGGCATAAGAATGGCGGTGGTAAGAAAGGGGGGAAGGGAAGCAGGAGCAGGACGAGGACGAAATCAACCTTAAGAAGAGACGGGTCAGTATTCGATGCGGAGCAGCAAACTGGATATGCCATGCAAAGCTGCAGTGAATCAGTCTTTGAATTCGCTTCCATGTGGTCCTTACTTCAGATCACAATTGTGGTAGAACTCTGAGTCCCAAACTCAGAGATAAAGGAGGCTGTTCTAGTTTAATCGCAACCAAGTCAGCAAGTACGTATGAGTCGACATAGCCTCCTGAGAAGGCAAGCAGTTAGTGACGTTGGTTTCTGCGCAAAGTCGTTTTTGCCAGTGTAGCACTATGTGGAAATACTGTGGGCTCTGGCTTTAGAACGTCACCATCATACGCGAAGAGCGTAGTCACCTTATAAGTAGTGAAGAGCGAACTCCTCGCAGCGAACCCATGACGGATAGAGAGAATTAATCCCTCAGGTATTAAAAAGATCAAAGTCAGGATTGAACACTGAGTCCCGAACATTTGTGTCTAGGAGGCATTTTAAGGTTCTAACAAGTAACTTTCTGTAAATAGTTTCATCATACCTCTAAGAAGGCGGGTTACCCGTTAGCCAAGCTGCAGGCTACCTGGCGCGTCCACGGG